TACTAATTTGATAGCTGAGTGGAGGAGGGATTGGGGAGGGGAGAAACTTGAAGAATAGATCAACCACTAGGCAATTACAGTAGTCCAGGCATGAAGTGATGAGGGCCTGCACCACAGAGGTGGCAGTGTCAAAGGAGAGAAGAAGATGGTTATAAGAGATGCTACAATGGTAAAATTGACAGAATTTGGCAACAAATTGGATGGGGGCGAGAGAGAGAGAGAGAGAGAGAGAGAGAGAGAGAGAGAGAGAGAGAGAGAGAGAGAGAGAGAGTAAGGAATTCAGGATAACACTCAGGTTCTGAGCCTGGCTGCCTGGGGGCATTGTGGTACCCTTGACAGTAGTAGAGAAGTTTGGAAGGAGGGAAAGTTTTGGGAGAGAAGATAATGGATTGAGTTTAATATGTCTATGAGAAAGCCAGTTTGAAATGCCTAACAGATAGTTGGAGATATGAGTCTGGAGGTTAGAGTTGGATAAGCAGATCTGAAAACCACCAACTTACAGACAATTGAAACTATGAGGGCTGATGAAATCACCAAGTGAAATAGTCTAGATAGAGAAGAGAAGAGGGCAGAGCCCTGGAGGACCTTCACCTTTAATGAGTATGACCTGGATGAAGATTCAGCAAAGAAGACTAAGGAGGGAGTGCTCAGAAAGGTAGAAGGAGAACCAGGATAGAAGAGGATTGTGGAATCCTAGGGAGAAGAGCGTGTCATGGAGACTGACATTGTCAAAGGCTACAGTTTGGTCAAGAAAGATGAGGACTGAGACAAGGGCATTCGATTTGGCAATTAAGAGATCATTAGTAACTTCAGAGAGAACCTGTTTCAGCTCAATGATGAGGTTGGAAACCAGGCTGTAGAAAGTTAAAAAGAGAGTGAGAAGAAAGGAAGTGGACAAATGGCTTATAGATGGCTTCTTCAAGGAATTTTGCTACAAAAGGGGGGAAGAGATATAGGACAATGGTTAGTGGGGATAGATAGATTAAGTAAAGGTTTTTATTTGTTTGTTTGTTTTGAATTGGGGAGACATGGACCTTTTTGTAGGCAGTAGAGAAACAGCCAGTAGATAAGGAAAAAAATGAACATAAGTGAGTGGGTGGGGATGATGGAGGGAGTAATCTGTTGGGGAAGATGGGATGGAATGGGATCGTTTGTGAATATATATTCCCAAAGGGTTACCCTTGGCAAGGAAAAGGACCACCTTTTCATGTGAGAAAGGAGCAAAGGAGAAAATAATTACAGAAGGCATTTGGTGATGTAAGATGAAGAGGAAGGGAGAAGATATGGTATCAATTTTTTCAGTAAAATAGGAGGCAAGGTACTCAGATGAGAGAGTGGGGGAAGAGGGAGCCAGGGGAAGTTTGAAGAGGGATGAAAAAGGGTTTGGGGAGTGGGATAATGAGATAATCAGTGTCAGCAGCAGGACTAGAACCCAGGTCTTCTAGTTTCCAAACCAGTGCCCCTTGCCAGCATGTCTATATCATGAATAACTTTGTAAACACTACTATTAATAAAACCACTTTAATTTTTACTCTGATACTTTGGAATCTGTATTAATCTTGACAAGGGTTAAATTAAAGTTTATCTTTGAAATAACTAGAAAGAACAAATTCCTAATGAAATCAATAGTGTTAACAAGTAGGACAAGTTGGGCATAGAATTTAGAGCAGGAAGAAGAAGCAACCTTAGATATTACACAGTTTAAACTCTGAATTTTATAGACTAAGAAACTGGAACCCAGAAATGTTAAGTGATTTCCTAGAGGTCACGTGGGCAATAAATAAAGTCAGCTTTCAAATGTAGGTCTTCTAATTCCAAATCCAGTGCTATTTCTTTTATATCAGCCACTTTCCCCCCCCTTAGACAACCAATGCCACTCTCTCCCCCCACTTTTAGCATCTTAAGTGCTTCAGAGGAACTTACATAAAATAACTTATGTGCTAACTACAGATCATACCAGTTATCATTAAAGTAGGTACTACTGCTTTCTGGCTCAGTTCTATTTGATCTATATAAACATTTAATTTCCTTTGGAAATGCTCTGTAATTCATACTTTTCACTAATTTAGGCAGGCCTTTCCCCAAATTAGCCTGAATTACTTATGTTAACCTTTAGAAAATCTTTTCTATTTTATTTAAAAAAAAACTTAAAGCAATTTCATTGACATGAACTAGAAGCAGAATTTTTAAAAAAGTGGTTTATAGACTACAGTGGAGTGGTTTACAGCCAACCCAGCAATCCATAAAAACTGGCATAAAGAATTTTTCTTTCTGTCTTCAGTGCCATGGAATGTAAAGGAAATGGTTCAACAGCAGCTGCAAACAATTACCAAGCATTTTTAATGGAGCTCTGAAATGCAATGAATTCAGAGCATCGCTTCAAAAGTCCCGAGCTGGATCCTGCTGAAGGGTTTGCTAACCAGCTCTTAGTGATAACCTCCTTGTTTGGCAAATGTTGTGGGCCAGCCATGTATTGAAGCTCTGTCTTGCTGATATTCTGCAAAGTTATCTCATTTTGCATTCACCTGTAGTCTTTGATGCTAAACAGTCCCTCTCTCTCTCTCTCTCTCTCTCTCTCTCTCTCTCTCTCTCTCTCTCTCTCTCTCTCTCTCTCTCTCTCTCTCTCCCTCTCTCCTCTCTCTCTCTCTCTCTCTCTCCTTCTACTCCTCTCTGCTTCTCTCTGTTTTCCTGCCCTCTCCCTCTCTCTGTCTGTCTTTCTCTTGTTCTTTCTCTTTTCTTTCTCCCCCTCTCTTCTTTCTTTTCTGTCTCTCCTCCTAAATCCTTCTCTCTCCCTCTCTCTATGTTTCTCTCCCTCTGTCCTTTTCTGCCTCACTGTCTGTCTCTCTGTTTGTGTCTGTCTTTGTCTCTATCTGTGTCTGTCTGTCTCGTTCTTTCCCTTTTCTTTCTTTCTCCCTCCTCTTCTTTCTTTCGTCTCTCCTCCTAAATCCCTCTCTCTCCCTCTCTCTATGTTTCTGCCTCTCTGTCCCCTTCTCTCTGTCTCTGTCTTTCTGCCTCCATTTCTGTCTGTCTCAGTCTCTCTCCTCCTTGGCCATGCATTCACTTCTACTTTCCAGAATGCATTTCTAATCTTTCCGTTTGCCCCAACATGACACATTTCAGAGGCATGGAAAGTATCTGTTGGAGGCCACACTGCAGCTGAGCCCTTTCAGTAGGAAGCTTTCCTTGTAGTTTCCCCAAGCCCAGCCCTGTCCAAGTCAAGCGAGCGCCTTGTGAAATACAGCCTGTGTGAACTTTCCTATGACTGCACTGGGGATTCCTGGGTTGTAGCTGAGAAAAGCTGTAGCAGAGGAAAAGTTTGCTAAAGAAACTTTAACTCTTTAGAGCCCTTTCTAAGACACTGATGTTTAAAGATGAGAACTCTGGATTTGGAGTCAGAGGAGCTGAGTTTGAATCCTGCTCCTGCTACTTACTAATTGTGTGATTTTGGCCAAATGGCTTCACCTCTTGGGGCTTCAGTTTCCTAATTTGTAAAATGATAAATTCCTGTCTTCCTTCAAGCTTTGACTCAATTTCCTACTTCTTCATGAGGCCTTTCCTGTTCTGCCTAGCGGCTAGTGCTTTTTCTTACAAGGTTACCATGGGTCTTCTTTGTATATATTTTGTATTGTGTGTGTGCCTGCACCAGTAGTAGATAAAGAGCTGGTCTGGAAGCCAGGAAACCCTAGGTTAAAGTCTTGCCAAGACCTGAGTTCAAATCCCACTTCTGACACATTCTAACCGTGTGATCCTGAAGAAGTCATTTAAACTTTTGGTGCTCTCTGAAACTCTTTAAAAAACAGTTACGTTGCAGAGAAGTTATTGATTTGCATTGTAGAAGGAGTTTTTTCTCCCTGTAGTTCTCTAAATCAATGAAATCATATTCCTATCTCTATCATGTATGTATATATGTGCATATATATTCTTCTATATATGAACATATGACTTCCTCTGTAAAGGCAGAATGTGTGCTTCTGGAGGTTAGAGGAAGTTTTGCTTTCACCTTTGTATTCCCAGTACCTAACACATAGTAGGCATTTAATAAATGTTTGTTGATTAATTAAAGATATGAAGCTTGTAATATCAGAAACTAAATCTACAAACCAAGGGGGGGACAGGTGCTATTACTTTTTTTTTCTTTTTTCTTTTGGATTGTTTTGGAATATTTCTGTGGTGTAGGAGCTATTAAAATTAAATGAGTTTGAGGGAGAAAATTGCTTTGTAAGCTGATTGTTAACAGTGCATTCCATGCACGTCAGTAAATATTACACCAGCCCATGTATTACAGTGGCCCTTAGACACATCGTTTTGAGGACTGAAGGTCAGCTCTTTTAGAAGCTCTTAGTCACTTGTTAACTATTTACCTTTCTTTCATCCCTGCAGTAAAAGAGTAACCTGTTTTGTAACTATTCAACCCCACAGGATCCAGAAGGGCTGATATTCAAACACGAACTGGGACCTTTCATCCCTTTGTTGCTACCTCAAAGGGCTTAGGGAAAAGTAGAGAAGCAACAGTAGAAGCTTCAGAAGCCACTTTCTTACTCTCCTCCACTCTGTCCTCTTGGGGCGTAAAGCAGATGTATGAAACCCAAACACTCCTCTACCCCTCCTGGGACTCAGGTATTTTTTATGCACAAGAGCAGGTCAGACTTTGGGGCTGGGGGAGGAAGCACTCGATTTCTGCCACACAGAGGAGTTAAAAGGAATGAGCTGACATTTTGTACTCTCTTGTGTCCAGGTTACTTGAACAGGCTTTTCTAGCCCTAATTGAGAAGACCGTGAGAAAGGAGAGGTTCTGTGTTTGGCAGGTTTGCCCAGCTGCATCCTGCAGAATTGGCCCGCATGCAGCCATCTGACTGTGGCAAACAAGATGCTTAAGGCAAAAAAAGAGGAGTGCAAATAAATACTATGCCTCTAGGCAGTCTGCAGCTTGAGGGGAAAAATTCTATCAGAAGGCTAATGCGTGCCTTTCACTGTGTTTCCTTCTCTTTGTGAACTAATAGGAAAATCTTCTCCCCAAGGAAGGAAGGCATAAATGAGCTCTGCCCATGTTAAAGCCGGTGTGAATCTTGCCCAGACTTTGAAATGCCAGAGTTGAACTCCAGGACATCACTGAGCAGCAAGCTGAATGAAAGTGTTGAATCACTTAATGAAAAACACACAAACAGTAAGACTAGCATTCTGACTCAAGAGAAGAAAGAAAAGGTATTCTCTGTGTCGTGGGGATAGATTATTAGGAAACACAAACATTTTTAATTGCAAACATCTGAAGCAAATTTTCTTTCTCTCTTTTTTTTTCCAGACGACTTCGTTTGACATGTGGTATTACATTCCGGTGCACCGCCACACGACTGGGTTCATCACCACCAGCTGCGGGGGTAGCCAATATATTGCCTGGTTGTGTGGCTGATGGCAGGCGGACACTGAAGACAGACAATTTTTGGCCCCAGAATTTTAAGAAGTAGCTATCTCATGCTTAATTTTCTTAGAGTAGTTCACATCTCTGAAATCGATTTATGTGAGATTTAGCATATCCAACAAGGGAGGTAGAATAACTTGCCCTAAGGTGCTGGGCCCTGTAAAGACAAACAAAAGAACATCTGTGAAGGTGTATGGAAAGATGGGTATTTGTACAAACAGGGAAGTAAATAAGAAAAGGCTAAAATCCTAGAAAATGGGAACTTCCAGGAAAAGCGCTAGAATAATTCAGGCTGGAGTAAAATTGGCTATGGAATTTTAATAATAGCTAACATTTCTATAGCACTTTAAGGTTTTCAAAGTGCTTTACAAATATCTCGTTTTATGCTCACAACAACCCTGGGAGGTAGATACTATTATTGTCCCCGTGTTATAGATGAGGTAATGGAAAGAGACAGAGATTAAGCTTTTATCCAAGATAGAACTAGCGTCAGAGAGTGGCTTTGGACTTAATGTCTTCCTGATCCTAAGCCTAGCCTTTTCAGTATATTATTAATCTTTTACATATCACTGTGTTGGTTGACTTCTCTCATTCTAACTCATTCCAAGAGAATAGGAAGGCATCTCAGAACCTATCTAGTACAACTAGAGCCTCTTTGTGACATGCCCAACATACTTAAGAAGTGGTGATCTAGCCTTTGCCTGTAGACTTCCATTTAGGAGGAAACTCCTTTCTTCAGAGGCATTCCACTTTCAAAAAGCTCTAATTGCTATAAAGGGGCATCTAGGTGGTTCAGTGGAGAGCAGGCCAGCCCAGGGGTCAGGAGGACCTGAGTTCAAGTCTGGCCTCAGATACTATCTGTGTCTTGGGGAAGTCACTTAACTTCTATCTGCCTCAGTTTCCTCATCTGTAAAATGAGTTGGAGAAGGAAATGGCAAACCTCTCTAGCATCTTTGCCAAGAAAACCTCAAATAAGATCAAGAAGAGTCAGACACAACTAAACAATTGCTGTAAACTTTTTTCCTTATGCTGAGCCTAAACATGTCCACAACATTTACTCAAAGTTTCTACTTCTGCCCTCTGGGACCAAGCAGAACAAGAATAATGCTTCTTCCTGGAGACAACCCTTAAAATACTTGAAAACATCCATATAGTCTCCTCTAAGTCTTCTCTGCTCTGGACTAAATGTAACCAGTTCTTTCCACCAGTCTTCATATAGCATTATATTGAGTCCCTGCCAGATGGAGAGATTATCACCAACTTAGTCCTGGATTCTCTTTCTCTGTCTGTTTCTTTGTCTCTCTTTCTTTCTCTCTCTGTTTCTCTCTGTCTCTGTCTCTATCTCTGGCTCTGCCATTCTGTCTCTGACTCTCTGTCTTTGCCTCTCTGACTCTCCATTCCCCCTCCCCTTTTGACACCAATCTCTTTTACTCCAATTTAAGATTACAATAACTTTTGGGGGGGCTGCCATATCACACTGTTGACTTGTATTGTTTGCAGTCCACCAAACCCCTTAAATTGTTTCAGATGAACTACTATCTAATCACACCACCCCCATCTTGTCCTTGTGAATTTCATGCTTTGAATTTTTGAAGGAAGAATGTTACATATAATCTTGCTGAATTTCATCTTATTAGTTTTGGCCTATTTTCTAGACTGTTAAGATCTTTCAGGATACTATCATCTAATGAAAGTGATCCCTCATTCCTTCCTTTGTTTTATGTTTGAATTTGATAAGCATGCTAGCTATGCCTTTATCCAAGTCTTTAATTTAAAAAAAACAAATAGCACAGATCCTTGGGCTCTACACTAGAGACTTTCAGTAGACATAGAGCCATATATAGTGATTTTACATATATACATATATATGTATATATACATATGTGTCAACACTTTGCAAACTTTAAAACACTATATAGATTTCAGTTATATTTATTATTAACACAATATTTCATCTATCAAATTGCATTATCACTCATCTCACTTCTCATCTTGTTCACAAGGATTACATGAGAGACTTTTCCAAATGCTTTGCTGAAATGTAGGTAACCCCTACCTGTAACATTCTTCTTATCTTCCATGGTTACTATCCTGTTAGAAAAGGAAATGAAGTTAGTCTAGCATAACCTGTTCTTAAAGGAATTAGATGCAAAGGATTTATACTGTGAAAGAGATCACTAGTAGAATGTAAAGAACAAATTGCATAGCTTATAATTTGCTAAATTCTGAAATCAATTGTTGCAGTAAAAAAAAAAGGAAAAAAGAAAAATATATTAGGATTACATCCGTCAATTCAGCTGATGGATGCTGTTTGAAGGAAGAAAGATGTTCTAGAAGAGTTTCTAACTCTTCAAGATCCTATCTGCTTCTGTAGTTGAATGAGGGACTTAGAAAGTAAAGATGAATTTTATGTATGAAACAGCTTAACAGTTTAATAGCACTGGTGAGCTGCTATCAAAATAGTTATGAATGTAGATGTGGCCACTCTTTGAGTTCAAAACCAAAAGTTCCTTTGGTTCAGGTCATACTTCTAGAAGAGTTTAAATCCACAATTAAGAGAAAATTCAAAAATCCCCAGGACCAGATGGATTTACAAGTGAATTCTACATCTTCAGCTCAGGGTTCTAGAGTTAGAGGGTATTTTTCTCTAATGCTGTTGCCCTAAGTTCCCATTGTGTATCCTTCCCTCCAGTGATTAGTGCTCAAAGATAATTAAGCAAATTAACATCAATTAGCTATTACAAAGGAATAGGAAGAACTGAAGTTGCAAAGCATCACATACACCCCCCCCAACACTTGGGGGTACTCTCCCTTATACTACTTCAGTCCTGAGGGAAAGAAGGGCCAATTTTAAAGCAGTTGCTATAAAACACTCACTCCATCAAGTTCACTTCTGAAGATAACCTGGAGGATAGAAGAGTCACCTTTTAAGCTGCTTTGATCCATTTCTATACTGGAGATCAAGTGGGTCCCTCAGGCCTTTGCTCCTCATTGGTCTTGACTGTTTACAAAGTCTGGCATGGACCTATGGCACATCGTTCTGCTGACCTTTTGAAACTCATGCATTGGCGGGCAGCCTAGTCTCTTATTCCTTCACCTAAGAGCAAAAGATAGGGGGGTGTGTGTTTGTGTGTGTGTGTGTGTGTGTGTGTGTGTGTGTGTGTGTGTGTTTTGTGTGTGTGAGAGAGAGACAGACAGACAGACAGACAGAGAGAGAGAAAGAGACAGACAGACAGAAAGACAGACAGAGACAGAGAAAGAGAGAGACAGACACAGAGAGACAGAGAGAGACAGAGAGACAGGAAGAGAGAGAGGGAGCATGTAGGCCCGTATTCACAGTAACATGTGGGCCTGGGTTGGGAGTAAGGCCCCAAGACTCTCTCTCTACCAAAAGAATGATAGCATGTTTCTTCTACCTCAGCCAGGGAGGAAGGAGGGGCCACTTTATTTGGTCAGTTTGCCCTCTAAGCATACTCTGTTCTAGTTCAGTAGCCAATGAAAAGGCTACTTTTCTCCCAGTAAGCAGAACAGAAACAATACCTGTACATGCTATTTACACAAGTAAAGATTGCAAAAGCCAAGCATGCCAGGGCTCACTGGTCATTTTTCCTTGCACCGTCCTTTCCTCTTGCACTTGTCTTGGTAAATAGATATCTCCCTTAACTTAGCCATGATTACAAATGGGATCAGACCTTTGACCCGTAATGTCTTTCAACCCTGTTTAGCTACTGACAGCTTGACTCCATAATAAACAGACCCTTCTTTGTAAGGTTCAACATTCTAATCATTTCTACACTGAGGTCAGGGAAAGACACATTTGTGTTCTATACCCATACCATAGTTGAGAAGGTATTTGGTGAGCATTCATCTGGGGTCAGTATTAGTAGTGTGCTACGTTAATCTTAAGTATCCTCCTTTCAACATTCAGAGGGACTTGTTTTATGCCTCAGCTGAAATAACCCTGCCCTCCCCAAACCCCAGGCATAGGTATCTGTTTTGGGGATGTTTCATTAAATAGAATAAAACATTAGAGTAGACCTTATAAGGTCGTTAGAGCTCATCCAGTCTGAGCCTCTGATTTTATAGTTGAGGAAGTTGAAGTTCTGGAGAGGTTAAAAGACTTGCTCTGGGCAGCTACAGTGGATAGAGCTGGCCTTGAAGTCAGGAGGACCTGAGTTCAAATCCAGCCTTACTAGCTCTGTGACCTTGGGCAATTAACTTAACCCTGATTGCCTCCCCCCAACCAACCCCCCCCCAAAAAAAAAGACTTGCTCCAAGTTGCACAGCTAGGCAGCTATAGAACCAAGGCTTGATCTCAGGGTCTTCTGACTCCTTATTCAATGCTCTTTATGTGTATTAATCCATTATATTGTCAGGAAGAAGTCCTCCATGACCCACCTTGGAATAGTTTTTATTTTGTTTTTTCCCTCTGAGACTTATTCCTTGGTGACAGCTCATTAAAATGTTCGAAGATAGCTAGGAGAGATTGGCTCATGTGGTGACTGCCTTTGTCTTCCTGCCTTTTCCTTCCAACAGGATATACTTGGAGAGAAAATGTCCCTGCAGTTATTTCCTACAGAAAATGGACCTTTTTTTTTCCAGCCTAGCTTTCCCATTAGACTTCTTACCTAAACGAGTGGGAACCCGATTTCCAGAAACATGCATTATTTCAGAGTTCCCAAATCTGTTTGTACCTGATTGCTAATGGTAGGGGAAATGCCATTAATCTGGTATACTCTAACTACAGGACTATGAGTGTATGTTTTTGTCCTGTTTACTCTGAACATTGAGAAAAATGGAATCTTTCTTTGATCACTGCTACTAAGTGGCCAATTTAAAACTAGGCCTAAAAGTAGGGGATTAGGGAAAAGGAATATGATTTTTTAGAAATGAATAAAGTTTGGGTTTCTGCTTTTTAAAAAAGTTTTCTTTTTTCTTTCTTGTTTGGGGATTTCTTCAGTGTCTGTGCCAAAAAGGACGACCTTCAGATACCCCACAAATACGGACATTTAACCAATTACACATGATGTGGTAATAAGGATGGGATTGACAGATGGCATGAGGGAGCCACCATTCTTTAGTGGAAAGAGGGTTGGATTTGGAGTCAAAGGACCTAGAATCTACACTTGACTCTGCTTCCTCCTACTGATATGACTTTGAGCAGGTCACAGTCTTTCTGGGTCTTCCATTTCTTCATCTGCAAAGTGAAGAAATTAGGCTAAATGACCTCTAAGGTTCCTTCTCACCCTAGATTTAGAATTCTGTGAATATTTATCTGGTATGTTAACAGCAAGGGTTCTTCCCATGGAGTTAATATATCCACAAGGAGTCCACAGGTAGATTTCAGGGGGTCTGTGAACTTGGATGTGGAAAAAGAATTGCAACTTTATT